CCCCCTTGCCCCCCCCGAGGGGCCCCCCCCCCCGGCCCCCCGCCCCTCCCGCCCCTGGGAGACTCCAGCGCCAGGCCCCCAGCCCTTCCCACCCCTGGGAGGCTCCAGCACCAGGCCCCCAGCCCTTCCCGCCCTGGGAGACTCCAGCACTAGGCTCTGCACTTTTCCTCCTGCCCTGTTTTCTCCCCAGGGATTCACCTGCTCTGTGAACATGGTGCTGAACCCTCGCCAGGCTGGAGAGGAGGCATTCGCCAGGTCCGCAGTGAACTCACGATTGGTCACCTGCAGCTTCACATCCAGTGTCACATTCACCTCTTGGCGGGGGAGGGAGAGACCAGGAACCCAGTGAGACGTGCCAGGCATTCGGGTCCCTTTGCACCCTGATGCCATGGGTCAGAGAGGAGCCACAAGGAGGTGGGAAGGACTGCGAGAGCTCCATCAAATTAGCTTGACACAGAACAGCGGCAGGGCAGCATGAGCCCAGTTGGGGGAACAAATGTCTGACCGGCGCCAGCTTCACAGAGGCAGGTCCCGCCCCAGCTGAGGCCTGGGAGTCAAAGCCAGGTGAGAAATCAGCCACCGGTTCTTTGCTCGCCAGGGGAATGGTCCCTCAGAACAGCTTCTGGGGCTGGCATCTCCCTCACCAGCAATGTTTCACTCCCTGGGGGACGTACTGCTGACCACTGGGCTCTGGGAATTTCTCTGGGCCAGTCTCCCGCCTGGGCTCAGACCAAATATCTCATGAACACGGCCTCTGGCCTTGGATTTTAACCAGCCCTGAGATGAACACGGGTTCCAGCCAGCCCCGGCCTGCCCACAGCAGTATGTGGGGTGACTGCAAGATGAGGGGCTGCAGACTGGACTGTGGAATGACTCGAAATAGCACAGAAATTTCAGAGCCACCCAGATTTGTCCTTGCCTTGTGTTCTTGGGTTGAGGGTTTTTTTGGGTGATTGGCTGAAAAATTGGAATTTCCAGAGACCAAAGTGTTTTGATTTTGGAAAACTGAAACTGGCCCTGTTGGAAACCCTTTTCCCACCGTGTGATAAAACCCAGCCAGTCATTGGCATGGCCCCAGGTGTGGGCGGGGACAGGAGAACCTGCATATGAAACACAAATGAAACATCATGGAACATGAGGAATTTGGGAGGGAGAAGGAATCAGAATGTTCCTCTGAACTAGAAATGTTGGTTTTAGTAAGGAGGGGTCGAGGTTATTTTTGGTTGGTTGGTTAACCCGGACACAGAGCAGGAGTTTCCTACCAGCTTTGAGCATGATGGTGCTCTCGACGAATTCGCAGTTCGCCCCCTGGAAGAAGGGGGTGCATTTGCACTCTGCCCCGGTCCAGACCCCCCCGTTCTGGCAGAACCTGGTGTCCAGTAACTCGCAGAGGGGGCCAGAGTAGCCCGCTGGGCACAGGCACTTGGTGCCGTTCGGCGTGCCGCCATTCTGGCAGAGCACTGAAAGAGACAACCCATTGTTCAGGGGTAGGTGGGACTGGAGCTGCAACTGACAACTGCAGTGCCCCTCCCCAGCATCCTGTGGGGATGAGAGGACCCCCATCTGCAGAAAGCAAAGCACCTTATGGCTGTCAGGAAGTATCCCTGGTTATACCTGGTAGGTGGTGGAGAACGGAGAAGGGAAGGGAGCAACCACCAAGCGCCATGGCAAAACTTGAAAGAGAACCCAGGAGTCCTGGCTCCCAGCCCCGTTGCTCTGACCTGCCAGCCCCCACTCTCCTCCTGGAGTCAGGGAGAGAACCCAGGAATGCTGACACAATGGAGGAGTCACTGTGGAGTTAGTCTGGTGTCCCTCCAATCTGAATCTCCTCAGGGGAATTAGTTCTTAGTGCACAACATTACAAATACATACTATAAATATGTGAGAACGAAGTGTGGTTATATGGATCATCACAATATTCACCAAATGAGACAATAACCCACCTGTTGTCATGGTGCTTGAGGAGGAGGTGGACGAGGACCCAGAAGTGCTTGTGGTGGTAGGGGGTGTAGCACTGGTGGTGGTAGTTGTGGAAGTGGGTGTAGTGGTGGCAGTGGTCATAGGTGTTGGTATAGTTTTGGAGATAGCTGACATGACGGTGATGGCTGTAGTGTCAGGTGTAGCAGTGGTTGGTGTATTTGGGATGGGGGGTACAGTGGTATTGGTGGTGAGTGTAGCATTAGATGTAGGAGTGGCGGTATTTGTAAGAGGTGAAGTGTCAGGTATTGTTGCAGAGGTAGTGGAGGTAGTAGTAGACGGTGTAGTTGTGTTGGTGCCAAGTGTAGTGTTTGCTGTATATGGGGTGGAGGTGTCAAGTGTAACATCAGATGTAGTTGTGGTGTTGGTGGCAAGTGTAGCATTAGGTGTAGGAGTGGCAGTATTAGTAAGGGGTGAAATGTCAGGTGTAGTTGTAGAGATTGTAGTGTTGGTGCCAAGTGTAGTGTTGCATGTAGCTGTAGTGGAGGTGTCAAGTGTAACATCAGTTGTAGTTGTCGTGTTGGTGATTATGTCAGTGAGAGGTGGAGTATAAGGTGTAGTTGTTGGTGTGGTTGTGGGTGTAGCTGAGGTGTTGGTGCTGGGTATAGTTTCAGGAATAGATGTGGTTGGGGTATTTGGACTGGTAGCTATGGTTATGGTGGTGGTAGTGAAAATAGTGTTATGCATAGTGATGGTGGTATCAGTAAGGGGTGAAGTGTCAAGTGTGGTTTTGGACATGACAGGTGTAGCTGTTGATAGTGTAGTTGTGTGGATGTCAAATGTAGTTGAAGTGGCAGTGGTTATGTTAGTAAGGGGTGAAGCATCAGGTGCTGTTGGTGAAGTTTCAGGAGTAGCCAAGGTGGTGATGAGTGTAGTGTTGGGTGTCATTGTGGAAGAGGGCATACTTGTAAGAGTAGTCATGGCAGTAGTGAAGGGGACCACAGTGGGGGTAGTTGTGACAGTGAGGGTAGCGGTGACTGTACTTGAGGTGGGGGTAGTGCTTGTGGTAGTGATGGGTGTCACAATCCCAGTGGTAGTGATGTTTGTAGTTGTGGAGGTGATGGCTGGAGTCACAGTTTCAGCAACAGTTGTGGGTGCAGCTGTGGAGATGGTGGCTGATGTCACAATCCCAACAGAGGTGGTAGGTGCAGCTGTGGAGATGGTGGCTGGTGTCACGATCCCAGCAGAGGTGGTGGGTGTATCTGTGGAGATAGTGACTAGTGTCACAATCCCAGCAGAGGTGGTGGGTGTAACTACGGAGGTGGTGGCTGGTGCCACAGTCCCAGCAACAGTGGCAGATGTAGCTGTGGAGGTGGCTAGTGTCACAGTCGCAGCAGTGGTGGTGAGTATAGCTATGGAGATGGTGGGTGGTGTCACAGTCCCAGCAGGGATGATGGGTGTAGCTGTCGTGGTGGTGGCTGGTGTCACAGTCTCAGCAGTGGTGATGGGTGTAGCTGTGGAGGTGGTGGGTGGTGTCACAGTCCCAGTAGAGGTAGTGGGGATAGCTGTGGTTTGGGGGCTGGAGGTGGCCAAGGCCTTGAGGCTGGCAGCCAGGCTTGGGGGACCCAAGGCGCTAGCCGGGGGATATGGCAGGTCTGTGGTGCTGGAGCCGTGGAGGACAGGAGAAGGCTTGGCCACAGTGGGGCTGCTGGCAGAGCTTGTGAAGTTGCTGCTGTTATTTCTTTCTCCTCTCACTCTCTCCTCATCCCTTGCTGGGGGTTGGGTGTTTTCAGCCTCTACCCTCACAGTTGGTGTGAGATCGCCCCCAATGTCCACTCCAGCACCCGTGGGTGGCCTGGCATCCCCGCCCTTGGCTGGTGTGTCTTCTTCCTGCAGTGTTTCTCTCACTGATCGCCCTGGGGGTCCTGCAGGGAGAACATTGCACAGCTCAGTTCACAACACTTCTATGCAGAGCTTTGGGCGGTGGTGCTGGCCTGGCTGGCCTGTTAGGCCCCTACAGGTGTGTCTAGACCACAGGGATTTTTTGAAAAAAGTAGCCTTTTTTCGAAAAATCTTTACCTAGGCTACTGCCGCATTCTTTCGAAAGTAAATCAAAAGAACCAGGTTGTTTGACTGCGGAAAGCCTCATTGTACGAGGAAAGTGCTCTTTCGAAAAAAGGTCTATGTATTGCAAACTGTGCTTTATCGAAAGAGAGCATCCAGACTGCCTAGGTGCCCTCTTTCGAAAAAGCAGCTTGCTTGTTCAAAAGTACTGGTTGTAGTCTAGATGCTCTTTTTCAAAAAGAGGCTTTCAGTCTAGATGTAGCCTATCTGGAGTGTGGCAGGTTTCGTGGCCTGACAGGTCACTTTCCCCTGAGGAGAAAAGGGTGACATGGCCTTGGGGCACTGAATAATTGGAGCCAGAGGAGAGCCAGCACAGTGACCTAGGAGCAAGGGAACAACCTCAGCCTGTATGAAACCCAAGCTCCGTCTGTCCAGCTCATCACTGAGCCTGAGCTATCCTGGGGCCGAAAGACCATCTGTGGCAGCTAGAACAAGCAGTACGATGCGACACCCCTTTGCTTCTGAATATGAATATGCCTAATTTGAATATGCTTTATGCAAAATGGGGCATGTAGCCTCTCTGAAAAGCCTGATTCTGTCTATTCCCTCTGCAGGCACATATCGTTCTTGGATGTGACATTAGAAATAAGAAGTGAAACCTGTTGAGTAATGTCGGTCTTCTAGTGAAAGCCACTAGTGGTAATAATAATAATAATATATGGAGATATACCTCTCTCATAGAGCTGGAGGGGACCTTAAGAGGTCACTGAGTCCAGTCCCCTGCCCTCATAGTAGGACCAAGTACCATCTCTGACAGATTTGCCCCAGGTCCCTAAATAGCCCTCTCAAGGACTGAGCTCACAGTCCCGGGTTTAACAGGCTAATGCTCAAACCACTGAGCTATCCTACCCCCCTTAATAGCCTGGTGCTTGAGACAATGAGATGTAAATTGTTTAATTTTTCCTATAAGCCCAAATTCTGGTTGGTCCTACCATGACAGGTGACTATGCACCTGCTGTTGGAATCCATCCTGAATGTGGTATTCCCTATGCGGGTGGGGAGGATGGAACCAAGGCTTTCTGCCCTGGAGAAATCCTGTGTAAGGGATGTAAAGCAAACAGTGATTGTTTCCCACTGGCTTCACAAACTGCTACCTTCCACAAGGGGCCACACATGAAGAGACTGGAAACAAAGAACACTAACGAGCTATTGGACCCAGGGCAGAGAAAAGATCAGCGCTGACTTTAAGGATTTTACCTGAAATAAGGACTAGGGTGAGGAATTATGATCTGTAACAATCTCTTGCAGTGTACAAGTCTCAGCTGGTGTGTTCTGGAACTTACCAGTCTGTTATCACTGGCAAACACTTAATTCCTTCCTTTTCTGCTTAATAAAATCATTTTTGTTTATTATCAAGCTCAGTGTAAATGTTTGTTACCTGGAGGGATCAGTCACTGTGCGACTCTCTGTTTCAGTGATAAAAGGGGCAAACTTCCATGTGCAAAACTTTTATAGACTATCACGGATTTATCTGGGGTTTGGTCAAAGTGGGGCTGTGTTCCTGGGTATTGATAAGTCCCTGTAATTGAGCACTCTCAGAGCTGAGCTGTGTTACTCTTCTGGGGGGCTGTTACCCCAACTTTGTGCCTTGGCAGGGGGAGACCAGAGGATCTGGCCCTGTAGGACAGGGTGATGGGGTACCCCAGAGGGCAGGTAGGTGAGCTCAGTGATGTGATCAGCACACTGGATAATAGCCCCAAAGGGACTTCTGTGACCCACCCCCAAACTGTGAGGGTTAAGAGAACCCTTCTTATACCACATCAAATGAGTCGTGACGCCTTTGGAGGGGTGTAGCGTTTCCTTGGACAATTGTGCCCAATTCCCCTTGGAGGCCGACAAACACTGTGTCTGGGAAGGATCAGGGAGATCAAAGGTTTTGGGGGTGAGTGCCTGGAGCAAACAACCCTCTGAAGCCATCCTTCCGACACAGCGCTGCTGGAGACCTGCTTCCTTCTAAGTACCTGCTCCCAGGAACCCCATGACCAAAACCTACAGTTTGGAACCATTGGCAGGTTACTGGGCCCATTCAGGGAAAGCAGGTGAAATTCTCTGAGCTGGACTGCATGGGAGGCCACATGGTGAAAACATCCCTATGCCCTAGCTCCTGGCACCTGCCCCTTCGCCCCGGCACACCCCCTTTGGTGCCAGCACCCTCCCTGTTCCTGGAAACTCCCAGCAGATGTCCCTTCTCCTTCCCCCACCTTGGGGCTCTCCTGGAGAACATGGGTCCTGTGCCAGACCCTGGCCTATAGTCCCGGGAGTGTGTAAAACAGGGCAGTGATGGAGAGAGATGCCCCCAGTCTTTCAAGCCAGCACTGATACAGGTGACCAATTATCCTGCTTCTGTTTCATGGCTTCAACCACCCTCAGTGTCCCTCTGGAGCTGCGCCATCCCTGTGCCATCATCCTGGACCCCATGATCGACTTCACAGGCAGCTACAGACTGGGAAGCCCAGGCGCCCCCCCCCCCATCTCCCTGCCCCCTGCCCTTTCCAGAGCCTGTCCCCATCCTGAACACACCCGAGAGCAGCAGCCCAGCCCTCCCATACTGCAGAATATGCTCCGCGGAGGATGTCTGAGGTACACCCCTTACATGCTCCATCCTACCTCACTGAACCAGGCCGCTTCCCGCAGAAGCAGATTGTATCTTGGAACCGGCCACCCAACCTGCTCTGCCCAAGAAACATAACCTCCTGACCGCACACCCCTCAACCTTTCCTGGACTCCCTCTTCTGGCCTGCAACACCCCCAGCCTCTCCTGCTTCATCGCCAAACGCCCGCTCCCTACAGAGCACACCCGCCAACGCCAAGCGACTCCAGGCCCTGCCAGAGGAATGGGCACGAAAACTGCCACCACTGCTGTGAAGTTCGATACCAAACGGTATTTGGGGTAAAGGGGCAGGTGCTGTGGTACCCCAGCCAGCGGCTGTGAGGGGGGCAGGCAATCGCCCCCGACTGAGCTCACCCAGGGAAATGGTAAAGGACAAAAATGCCTGGCCACCGGTGAGGGAACCTTTCTCACCAAGTGACCACTGCATGTTTGACTGCTCAGACCACCTGCCCCCTGCCCGCCAAAGGCCAACCCAAGAGCTGAAATTCATCGTCTTGAAAACCAGCAACTGTCTGATACACCCCAGGTTGGGGTATTTACAAATCTCACCCCCTTTCATTTTCCTAGACAGCAGAGTTGTTAACGGGCTGCTTCTAGTCCCTGAGGGTATGTCTATACTACAAAGTTAATTCGAACTAACGTCCGTTAGTTCGAATTAACTTTGATAGGCGCTACACTAGCGCTCCGCTAGTTCAAACTTAATTCGAACTAGCGGAGCGCTTACAGACCTGCTAACAATTAGTCTTTAAAGTTCTACATAGTCCTGTGTCTTGTGTTTAGCTGTGACACTCTGGGCCCCTTTCCCAGTGCTGAGGAAGAGCTCTGCTTGGTTTGAAAACTGGTCCAGCAAAAGCTGTTCGCTTCCACACCTTGTTTCTATCTTTTCTGGGAACTGATGCAGCTGCAATGCCACAAACTCTCAGCTTCTAGTAGTCAGAGGTTTAGGGCCATCAGCCATTGATAATCCAATCCTCTGTGAACTCATCTAGTGCTTTTCTGAGTCAAGTTTTGCATTTGGCCATCACAAAATCTGGTGGCAAGGAGTTCCACAGGCCAGTTACATGTTGGGTGAAAAACTACTCCTTCTGGTTTTTATGAAACCTTTCCTCCCGCACCCAGCTCTCCTTGACTCTGTCCCCTGGACCCTGTCTCACTGAGACTTGGAGGTGGGAACTTGTGGGGCCAGAGGGGTATCTGGGATGGTAACTGTGAGGGGATCCTGAGGCCCTGTGGAGACCCCTCCCCGGCATGGCAATTTCTGGGGAACTTAACAAAATCAGTAACACCAGATGAGCAGGGGGTTGGCTGATCTCCAGCCACCTGCCACTCACCTCCTGGCTGGTGCAAAGAAGCCAAGCAGCCAAGGAAGAGGACCAGGATGAGGACGAGGGCCAGAAGCTTCTTCATCCTTTGTGATGAGCGTCAGGAGAGCGTTGCCAGAGGTGCAGCCCCTCTGCAGCTCCTAGTCTCACCTTCTGTGCCGAGAACCTTTGGCTCACACCTTGGTAAGTGATAACAGAAATGCCGTCCCGCCTTTCCCAGGCCAAAGGGTGGAGGATGGGCAATAAACCAGCCCTCAGAGGATGGCTCCCTGCCAACCTCCCATCCCCCAGCACGTCCCATCCCATCAGACTCGGTGGAGACACTGTGGCCCCTACTCAAACCCTCTTCCCCTTGGCTCGCCACACTCCCTGGCCTCGCCACACGAGCCTGGTTCTGCCCACAGCTAGCTGGCACACATCCCAGCAAAAGAGGGGTGCAGCTGACCCACAGACTCCTTCCTTCCCCGCCTTCTTCCAACAAGGAGCTACACAGCCCATCCCACTGTGCTTATCTGGACAGCCCACAAGGCTCCTTTGTTACCTGGTCTCCATGCAAAGCTGTCCAGGCAGATAGCACTTTATTGCTCCAGGCACCGGCTGACAGCGCCGGGGGCCGTACCCAGCTCTGTGGGGAGGGCAGATGATGTCAGCACTGCTGGCAATTGCACAACACTCCCAAGGGCAATGGAGTAAGTCACCAGCTCCTCTGGAGCCAAAGTCTCCAGGTCCACAAGTCCAGGTGCAGCCGGAGCCATTTTGGGGCTGGGAAGCCGAATTTGTGGGCAAAGCAAATCACTGGCCATGCACGTCATTCTCTGTGCTGGCGGCAGCATTGCACCAGGCACAGCCCCAAACCAGAACACGTCTCTGCTGCTGTTTGGGTCGGCATCCACTCATGGACGGTAGCGGTAAAAAGCAAACAGACCACTGGACAGGGACAGGTCCATCCATGGCTATTAGCCAGGCTGGGCAGGGACAGACACATCCTTGGCTATTAGCCAGGCTGGGCAGGGACAGACACATCCTTGGCTATTAGCCAGGCTGGGCAGGGACAGACACATCCTTGGCTATTAGCCAGGCTGGGCAGGGACAGACACATCCTTGGCTATTAGCCAGGCTGGGCAGGGACAGACACATCCTTGGCTATTAGCCAGGCTGGGCAGGGACAGACACATCCTTGGCTATTAGCCAGGCTGGGCAGGGACAGACACATCCTTGGCTATTAGCCAGGCTGGGCAGGGACAGACACATCCTTGGCTATTAGCCAGGCTGGGCAGGGACAGACACATCCTTGGCTATTAGCCAGGCTGGGCAGGGACAGACACATCCTTGGCTATTAGCCAGGCTGGGCAGGGACAGACACATCCTTGGCTATTAGCCAGGCTGGGCAGGGACAGACACATCCTTGGCTATTAGCCAGGCTGGGCAGGGACAGACACATCCTTGGCTATTAGCCAGGCTGGGCAGGGACAGACCCATCCTTGGCTATTAGCCAGGCTGGGCAGGGACAGGTCGGTCAGTGGCTATTAGCCCGGCTGGGCGGGGACAGGTCCATCAGTGGCTATTAGCCAGGCTGGGCGGGGACAGGTCCATCCTTAGCTATTAGCTAGGCTGGGCGGGGACAGGTCCATCCTTGGCTATTAGCCAGGCTGGGCAGGGACAGGTCCATCAGTGGCTATTAGCCAGGCTGGGCGGGGACAGGTCCATCCTTGGCTATTAGCCAGGCTGGGCAGGGACAGGTCCATCAGTGGCTATTAGCCAGGCTGGGCGGGGACAGGTCCATCCTTGGCTATTAGCCAGGCTGGGCAGGGACAGGTCCATCAGTGGCTATTAGCCAGGCTGGGCGGGGACAGGTCCATCCTTGGCTATTAGCCAGGCTGGGCAGGGACAGACCCATCCTTGGCTATTAGCCAGGCTGGGCGGGGACAGGTCCATCCTTGGCTATTAGCCAGGCTGGGCAGGGACAGACCCATCCTTGGCTATTAGCCAGGCTGGGCGGGGACAGGTCCATCCTTGGCTATTAGCCAGGCTGGGCAGGGACAGACCCATCCTTGGCTATTAGCCAGGCTGGGCGGGGACAGGTCCATCCTTGGCTATTAGCCAGGCTGGGCAGGGACAGACCCATCCTTGGCTATTAGCCAGGCTGGGCGGGGACAGGTCCATCCTTGGCTATTAGCCAGGCTGGGCAGGGACAGACCCATCCTTGGCTATTAGCCAGGCTGGGCGGGGACAGGTCCATCCTTGGCTATTAGCCAGGCTGGGCAGGGACAGACCCATCCTTGGCTATTAGCCAGGCTGGGCGGGGACAGGTCCATCCTTGGCTATTAGCCAGGCTGGGCAGGGACAGACCCATCCTTGGCTATTAGCCAGGCTGGGCGGGGACAGGTCCATCCTTGGCTATTAGCCAGGCTGGGCAGGGACAGGTCCATCCTTAGCTATTAGCTAGGCTGGGCGGGGACAGGTCCATCCTTGGCTATTAGCCAGGCTGGGCAGGGACAGGTCCATCATTGGCTATTAGCCAGGCTGGGGAGGGACAGGTCCTGGCTATTAGCCAGGCTGGGAGGGGATGGTGTCCCAGCCTCTGTTTGCCAGGAGCTGGGCATGGGCGACGGGAGGGGTCAGTGGAGGAGTCCCTGGTCTGTCCATTCCTCTGGGCACCTGGCACATGCCACTGTGGGCAGACAGGACACTGAGTTGATGGACCTTTGGTCTGACCCAGCCTGGCTGTTCTTATGTTATTCTCCTTTGCTGGCCAGGCTCCTCAGCTGTGTTGCATCTTCCAGGGACATGGCAGCTGATGGGGCAACCCACTAGGGGGTCAGTGGAGGAGTCCCTGGTCTGTCCATTCCTCTGGGCACCTGGCACATGCCACTGTGGGCAGACAGGACACTGAGTTGATGGACCTTTGGTCTGACCCAGCCTGGCTGTTCTTATGTTATTCTCCTTTGCTGGCCAGGCTCCTCAGCTGTGTTGCATCTTCCAGGGACATGGCAGCTGATGGGGCAACCCACTAGGCATGAGCTGCTCTGTATGAAGCCAGCCTAGACTCCGGGGTGGTGGGACTCCTTGCAGGACTCACTATCCAGGGTAAAAACCTCCCTGGGTCTGACCTCAGAGCCTTCAGATCCCTTTCCTCATCATGAGCTCCCTGCAGTGCGGCCACCTGGACCAGACCGTGAATGTCCTGACAGGCCCTGTCACCCCTCCACAGCCAGCCTGGACTCCCAGCTAGCGGTGACATAGAGAGGTTGGGTCTGAGCCATTGGGAACCTGGTGTAGGTCAGAGCTGGTTAGCACAGACAGCAGGGAAGGGACGAGGCTGGTGTGTTAGAGCAGTGTTTCTCAACCTTTTTTTTTTTTTATAAAGTACCCTTTTTAAAAAAAATTATAAGTATCCCCAGTACCTACAGTTTTCAGGTGCACAATTTTTTTCTACCATTGCAACACATTTTTTTAAACAATTTAATTGTAGCTGGGTGGGTGATGAAATTTTAGGGTGTAAAAAGTACAAAAACAATAAAGTGCTGTAAAACTTAAAACAAAAATTCAGTTTTCTCCAAATTTCAGTTGTGTTGATGTACCCCCCAGATGTATCTCGAGTACCCCTAAGGGTACTCGTACCGCCGGTTGAGAAACACTGTGTTAGAGCAGGGGGCTGGGAGCCAGGACTCTTGGGGCTCTCGCCCCAGCTTTGGTGGATTAGAGTAGGTGGGGACCAGGAGAGTCAGGGCCACTTGTACATCTGAAACTAAAAGGTGGCCATGGAAAGGGGGTGAGATTGGAGGCAAACAAGCATGAGAGAGCAGCTCCCTGCTTTGCTTTGCCCAGCTGCCCTGACCCCTAGCTCTTGGCTCCTCCCACCACAGTGAATGGGGTCCCCATGTCTAACTCTACATTGCTGATCTGGGCCCCCACAGCTCCAACCCAGGTACTGTCAAGCAGCTGTGGGGGAAACCCAGCAGGTGAAAGGTCACCTGTGCCCTGGGACACCTGCCCCATCTCCACCATCAGCCCATCCTCCCCTGCAGTGTTTTCCTTGGGAATTGAAATTGGAGGTGTTGACTTTATGGGGGCGGCCTCAGGCTATCAGGGCAAAGGAGGGGTGTGAGCGAGGGAAGCTGGGCTGTGTGAGCAATGCGCACTGGAACACAGAACCCCAGCTAGACACATCAAACACTCGGGCTAGATTATCTGTCCCCACTCAAGAGAGAGATTTTGCTGTCACTGTGGAGTTCTCTACAAGCATCTGCTCAAAGTGCAATGGCAGCCAAAAAAGCTAACAGGACATGGGGGATCATCAGCAAAGAGATAGAGAATAAGACAGAAAATACCATAAAGCTGCTATATAAAGCCATGGCATGCCCATGTTGTATGTTTTCTGGTCCCCTCTCTCCCTGCCCCTTAGACTGGCATTGGAAAAGAACAGAGAAGGGCTACTAAACTGAATCAGGAGGAGAGATTAATAAGACTGGGACTTTTCAGTGCAGAAAAAAAATGCCTGGGGAATATGATAGAGCTCTATGAAATCATGGTTGGTATGAAGAAAGTGACTGAAGAAGAGTTATTTACTCCTTCTCATAACACAAGAACTAGGGTCACCCAATGAAAAGAGTAAGCAGCAGGTTTAAAACAAACCAAAGGAAGCAATTCTCTGCGCAAAGCACAGCCCACCTGTGGAACTCCTTGCCACAGAATGTTGTGACGATCAGAACTTTAACAGGCTCAAAGACGCACTAGACACATTCCTGGAGGGTAGGTCCCTCAATGGCCGTTAGGCAGGCTGGGAGGGATGGTGTCCCAGCCCCTGTTTGTCAGAACCCAGGAACGGGTGATGGGTTGGATGCCTGGTCTGTTCTTTCCCTCTGGGGCACCTGGCACTGGCCACTGTTGGAAGACAGGAGACTGGGCGAGATGGACCTTTGATGTGGCCCAGTCTGTATGCGCGTATGTAGAAATGAATACAGAAACTCCCCCAGGTATTGACCACTGGAGATAACAACCCTGGCAAACAAAGCATTTACAAAACCCTCTCCTGCCAGGAAACACGCATTTCTGTAACGTTTCCAGGAGAAAGTCCCTAAAATACAGTCCAAGAAGGAAATGTTCCCTTCACGTGCCTCTCACTTTGCCCCCGGCCAGGCACCCTTGTCCTTCCTCAGTGGAGACTCGGAGACCAGAGGAGCTCTCAGGAGAGGGGGAGAGGGGGGCACCTTGCTATTTCCCGAGCCACTCACCACTCGCCCCAGCC